TAATGCACCCAGCCACAAATTTGTCGGGTAAGACACACTTAAGGAGTTCGAGTTACTTAGCCATGATTTGTATCTCATGAGCCTGTTCGACTACAGAACGGTTGTCAGCCATCCTGTAGTCATGAAACTGCTCCATGATGTACAGATCATTGCTAGCATCAGTAGCACCGAATTTAGTATTCAGTGCATCCCACAACTCCTTAGCGTTGGTCATGTGCATATACACCTCGACCAGACGATCGCCAAGAACGCTAAGAATGCATCCCACAAAGAGAGTAGTGGCTTCCTCGAATTGCTTATGCTGATCAGCAGTAAGAACTCCTTCAGGTTTCCCAGTACTCACCTAGAAGCATTTCATAGCTGTCAGCCACAGAGTGACCCTGATCTGCCATCTCTTAAAGTGCACACCGGTGAATTTATCCGGCCTCAGGGCATCGGCAAAACCAGCCATAGTAAAATCATAGCGCCTATAATAAGGTTTTTGGATTGTTGAAATTATAAGCACATAATGATTTAATTTATTCCATAAATAAATCATGACATTGCATATGTAAACTAGCATGAACGCATCATTAGATCTACGCATGTAAACTAAGCAGTAAAACATGAACAGATCAAATATGCACAACATGTCGAACACGTACCGAGGTGGCGGAAAGACCGGTTGCTCGGCAGGAACTACTCGTGATTGCGGGCGTCGACGAAGGCGCAGTACAGAGTAGGAGGCAAACCCTAGATTAATTTCGCGTGTGTTGTGTGAAGACGACGGCTCGGTTTATATAGAGATAGGTCGCTTGATCAGAGCGCCCGCACGATCTCCACTCCGCGTAACTGAACCGGATAAGTCGCGCATAACTTATCCGGACTCCATGCCGTTTTCATGCACCGGATTTTTCGGAATGTTTCCAAAACAAAAAAAATCTAAATTTCCCGCAGTAAAACAAAACAACAAAAGGAGGCTGCATCTGCGCAAGGGTGAAGAGCCAATTTTGCGGACCATTCGACGCGTACGTCGTGCGCGCGCGCCGCCTGCCCTGCCAGGCAAGGCGAGGCGAGTGAGCGAGCGAGCGCGTGTTCCCCCTCTTCTCTCCACCACACATGCTTCAAGTGGCTAGTAGGGCATCCTCCCTTTTAAGGAGGTCCCCCCTCCTAGAATAAGTAAGGTGGTACTAAACTTCACATACATGCCATCCCATAAGGTGAGCTTTTGTGATTTTCCAAAGAATTAATCTTCGAATGGGCCTTAACCCATCTATTAATTCCAACAATCCCCCACCAAATCTCAAAATCCCACTGAGATTTGCCTTTTCCAATATATTGTTTATATACCAGCGGTTCGATGGAGACCGATTAAGATTAAACATCCATCTAGAACTCCAAGCTACACTTACTCACAACTTGAACAATGGACTACGCCTTGAATTGCAAGTCTTGTGCAAGCAAGTTTCACTCAGAGTGTTATCTGGTACTAGACCGTCTGTAGACTACCCTTCGGGTGGAGCGTATAAGTCATACTCCTAGGTCTTTAGTAAGCTTCCTTAAAGATTCCAACAAGGACTAGAGGGGCATCTCCTTCGCCTCTGAGGTCTTCAAGCCACCGTCGTCGTAGAAAGAAGCGGCGGTGATGGAGTAGAGGGGATGGAAACGGGGGAGCTCGACCGTGGCGGAGGAGGCGAAGCGGATAGGATGGGCGGTGAGTCTCCATGGTTTCCTGCGACGCCAGCGGCCACATCCCCTTCACGTGGCGGCGACAGAGCGAAGGGGATGGAAACGGGAGCGATCGACCGCAGCAAAGGCGTCGGAAGGGATGGGTTGGGGGCAACGATGAGTCTCCGTGGATTCTCGCGACTCCGGTGGCCGCATCTGTTTCACGTGGCAACGACAAACTGCTTGAAGTTGAAGCAGAGAGGAATGCGGGTGCCGGCCAGCCTTGCTTGTCCCTGTGCATCCATATCGAGCTATAGCTAAGCTACTCTAGTAACTGCACGCACTCACGCGACCATGCATCCAATTTAAGAGAACACTACTATGAAATATGAATAAACAAGAGGCAACGAGGAGGAGCGCAGTTGCGGGTGCTGGAGCGGGACACGCTGCTGAGGGCGCGGAGAGGTCGGAGGAGACCCAAACGGAGGCCGGTGGTGAGGCATCGGAAGGGGCAGTCGACACGGGGTCCGTGGCTCCGCGCGGGGAGAGGCAGTCGCCGCCACCGGCGAGGACGGGGCTCCTGTCCTCCCCAGCGCCGGCAGCCCCGCCGGCCTTCCCGTCTCGTCCCTCTCTGCGCGCTCGCTGGTGGAGACTGGAGAGAGGAGAGAACGCCGGTGGAGAGAGAAGACAAATATTGGGAGGATAAGGTGGAGGAAGTGGAACCCACTGATATATAGGTCCCACTATTTCTTTTACGGATATACTCCGTCCATCTAAAATATAGTAACTTTGTGCTGGATAGGACACATCTAGTACAACGAATCTGAACATATATATCCCATCCAGTATAATATTGTTATTTTTTTAGGATGGAGGGAGTATGTCTTTAATTTTTCAGTTTTCAATTTTGCTTATTTTTATCAAGCTGTCATGTAAGCTCTACATTAACGCCATGTAAGACAAAGACCTAATCAAATGATCCATATAGGCGTCACGTCAGTTAAAACCGGGTCAAAAGACTGCCGAGGACCTCATTTGCACGGTTTTGTTTGTAAGTTGGAGGATGCGTAGTATACGGTTTCTAGGAACAGGGTTGAAATCAGACTTGACAACAAATTGAGGGACCTTTGGTGAACTTATTCCGACATTTTCAGGCTTTACTCATAAACTGGGCCACGCGATTAATGGGAAGGGCCCATATAAAAAGCCCATAATTATATAACAAAGGCCTAACAGGGCCCATGATCCAACAGCAGCACGGCCCACGTACGATCGACCACCCAAAAGAGAAGTGGAAAACAACAAAATTGCCGCGGTTAGAACACGGGAAGAAGAGTCAAATAGCTCGATTTTTTTCTACGGAGTTTTTTTTTTGGGTGAGTCAAATAGCTTAATGTGGGCCCGTTGACGTCGTCCCTTGACTCGTGTGGACAATCACTGGGTATTTTTCAATCATTCTCATCATCATATCCATCTACGCGCAGCCTACACATATATCTTATGTGTTCTGAATTAATGAAAGAAATAATGCATAATCAAGGAAATTATTTTTTCATGAAAATTGGATTCGCATGTGAGATTATGTACATATCTGTGCTAGCTCCGAACAAAACATGAAGTTATATATGTATATATAACGTCTCTCGATTCTGTGTTCTCATCATTGTTCCCAAAAAAAAAAGATAAACTTAGAGAGGCCATATTAATTTTCTAGAAACTGGGAATTTCATTCAGCAATGCACGTATAAAATATCCCGAAATCAGGGAGGTAGGAGGGATGACGTGGATTATCAATCATCCACATTTACAAATATATACCAGAAGAAATATCATTTTCTGAGCAAAAATATGGATCATACGCAATATTTACTTATTAATTATTAATTATAAACTATTGGACTTAGCTAGTTTTAATAAAGAGTGTTATTTAACATGTCGATGGAGTCATCTTAAAAATTATTCCCATCTTAGCCATGTACATATATTTTTAACTATTTTGTCAGCTAAACGAGACATATAACCTATATAAGTATGTACATCATATCCAAACTGAACTATTTGGCATCTGTTTGAATTAATGGCGCACAAGTGGACGTGTGAAGGTGGTGTGTGTTAAGATATTTGGAGGTGTTGGACTCTGCGGCACTGTTATAGGCAACTCAAATAGGTTGAAATTGGAGTAATTCATACTCGCCTAATTATTAAGTAATTAATGAGTTGGTTTTGTTTGCTATGCTCGCCTTTACGCTCGAATTTCACTTCTTATATTGATTATATTCTCAAACCAAGCTATTAGCTAGCTTGTACTTCAATTATTCTTTTTTTTTTAAAAAAAAAAGACTAACTTGTCAAGAGTCAAGACAACAAATAATAGATCAAGGTGAGAATGCTAAAATTATATGCATGGAGTGGATTCATGAATGAGACCAAATTAGGCCACCAGAATATAATGCACAAGAAATATCTCAAAACTCGTGCTCGATCTGCTAGATTTAACGTACGTGCGATGAGACTGAGCTATATAGCAATTAATCCAAGGAAAAACGTAACAATATATATAGCATATTATCACTAATGCATACTGTATTATATTGTATAAAATCCAAAATGGAACGCATGACATGAAATGTCGGATTTGCCATTGCCTCTTTATAACTTTACAAAATCTCGTATGAACAAAATCTCGTTGTGATCCGCAGATTCCATTCATGGTAGACACAATGGCCATCTGTACCCTTGCTAGATTTTTTTGCCCTCCTCTTGATGTACAAGTGTACAACCAGAATACCAGATGCTGCAAGCATGCAAATCCAACATTCCTGCGTATATACTGCTGTGTATAACATTGTCTTGTGCTGCTTCAAATGTACGTGCTTTCATCAGGAACGCGTGCTGTACGCGTGTCGAAGTAATGTGGCTTTTGTTCTAGGAAACCAAATAGAAGCATTTTTATTCCGTATTTATAGTATATACTAGTAACAAACCCATGCATTATATTGCAGCTAGCGGACCCATTACACCGGGAATAGGTCACCTTTTTTATGCATTTTTCTCTTGCGCGCTCTGTGCATAAGGTGGGAGGAGATCTCAGATGGAAGAAGCAGGACTCGACTTTACAGTGGTAGAGATTATGTATGACCATTAATTAATTAAATGGTTCACTGGTATTTTTCCTTGAAAGAAAAACGGTGTGCATATATATATGTGTGTTACTTTTGACCTTTAATTAATTTGTAGATGCAAAATAATATTTCAACATATATATATTGTTGTATTTTTATATCCATCTGTGACCAGGTTATTTATATATATAATGGTTGCATTTTTCTTTTTAGCTTATATAGATATGCATATATATGTGTATAAGTGTATTTATATGGTTGTTTAATTAGGTCATTTGTTCTTGTGCATGCATGCAAGAACAAGATGCCTAGCTCTGATCATGATCTTGATCATTTACCACGGTACTTCTCGTCGTCGAGGAGATCGTCGAGCACCTTGTCGTCGAGGTACTCGAACTCGATCTTGTCGCCCCTGCCGCGCTGCGCGGACGACGACGACGACGACCCGGAAGCGGCGCCGCCGGCTCCTCCACCCCTGCCGGCGGCGGCGGCGGCCGGGAAGTTGAGCACGGCGGCGGCGCCGCGCTGGGCGTAGGCCGCGCGGTCGTAGGCACGCGCCGCCTCCTCGGCGGTGTCGAAGGTGCCGAGCCAGACGCGCGCCCCGCCGCGCTCCGGGTCGCGGATCTCCGCCGCGAACTTGCCCCACGGCCGCCTCCTCACGCCGCGGTACTTGGTCGCCGTGTCCTTGCTCCGGTTGTCCTCCATGGCAGCGATCGATCGATCGATCGAGAGGAAGACGAAGATGGATTAAGCTAGCTAGAGCTAGCTCTGCTTGCTTTGATATATGATGAGTGTGTGTGGCGGTAGCTTGGAGATCACTCGGCTATTTATAGAGGCGATGGCGTACGTACATATATGTTGGCATACGGTACGTATACGTACGTACGTACATCGGTGTCTCTGCTGCATGTATGTTGACTCGTTAGTAGTATACTGTGTACGTCGCCTCTACGTATACGTATATAAGTACATCGAATATATGGAGGCAGCAATGTGTTCAGACAGTAAAGTAGAAAAATAAAACGGTCGTCGATCAGCTTGCCGCGCGCTAAGGAACAAATTAACTGAAATGCATGCATTTACCCTGCAAAATTGGAAGTGAATCTATTTCCCTCAAGGGAACATTCCCTAATTTTATGTATGTCATGTAAAAAGTTATAAAAAAATTTAAATAAATTTGTTAAGATATATCAATATATGATATATCTTTTCGCAAACATGCGAGTTAAAATTCTACTTATATAATTCAAAACAAAAATAGCAAATTTGACTGTAAAGTTATAAGTTTCTACTTATATAAGTTGAATTTGAATTCGCAAACATAGCTAAATTTGTTATTTTGTTTCTACTTATATAAGTTGAATTTGAATTTGCATGTTTGTGAAGTGACATATCACATATTTAACTAACCTACTAATTCTTTTCAAATTTTTTGATGACTTTTTTAAGTGACATGCAAAAATGAGGGATATCCCCTTGGGGATGAATTGAGTTTTCTCTGCAAATTAACATAAGTAGAGGAAGAGGAAAAAGAAATTAAAGTGCATTTGCGTTTGAGTCTTGCTAAGGTCATGCTCTGACAGAAACCTATAGTAGGCAATTGGCAACGACAATTGGCCCCTTTTTTTCCTGTTGTATGGAAGATACACGCACCCGCCGCAGTAACGCACCTCTCGTTGTGTGTACGAAGGCGGTAAAATTAGGTGCGTTTTTCACTACTACGAAAATACTCTCCGGTTCTTTTCTATTTGAGGTTGGTTATTAGTGCAAAACAGAACTAACTAACGTCAATCAAATAAACACGGAGGGAGTATTTCTATAGACAACTGAAAAATCCACTTGTAGAAATGGTTGGGTCAACCACCTGTAATAAAAATATATGCGAAAACAATGCATTTTGATATGAGGAAACGTGCCGCCTGTGGAAACAATTTCCATAGGCAAGCGGCTTAACATGACTGCCCTGTGAAGATAATTTACACGTGCAACCTTACTAAGGTGATTACCTGTGAAAATATATTTCACAGGCAATTGACTTAAGTCAGCTGTATTTGGAATATGATTCCAGAGGCTAGCCCTATTATGACCATATTTGGAAATACGTTTACATAGATATTTAAGCTCAGGCTAATGATAAACAATAAGCAATTCACTTATATTTCAACAACTGGGTAGGATAGAGGGGCACAACTTCATCGACATTGAATAGATGAATGACAATGGGAAGCTATACCTAGCCCAAAAGGTGGAGAGTAGTAGCAAAGGGGTCAAGGTGACACGCCTTAGATAGCAATGGTACTATTCCTCCCTGCATAATATCCACATAGCTCCAACGCTCCCACATATTCACCACCCATATACTATTCATCTCATGTCTAAGGCGTGACAATGTGATCCCTTTGCTACTACGTGGATATGTTATTATTATATATGAGTTGGACAAACAAGGTTTGAACTAAAAATCCTCAGATGAATACTCATGCGAGCTAAAAAAAAAGCAAATTTCACAAAACTACAGATATTATGATCCAAGTTACACAAAACCACCTGGGTTTTGGCGTGTAGCATATAATTCCAGGTATTACAGTAAAAAAATTTCACAAAACCACATCAATATCTCATTTGACTTGTTATTATAGCAAAGTAAAAACCTACTTAAACTTACATAGCTAGAACTGGTATATGATGGGTTAAGGAAGTTATAAATTTGATGTGTAATAACTTTAGGACTCACAGGAATGATGAATCAAAGAACAATTAATCAAACAATATTACCAAATACCCAAGGTTATATGTTACGTGTCAAAAACCCCTATGGTTTTATGCAACTTGAATTATAACAAATTCGTTTTTTTTTTAACTTTTGCCAAGAAAAAATGATAATAAAATAATATCTATGTTTAGTCATCATCACTTTTTTTTCTTTTCTTGAGTTCTTTTTCCTTTCTATAGAGGACAACTACACATCTGCCGCCCTCACACCATGCACACAAATAATATTGTTGTGATAGTAATATAGATACCAGAAGAATAGAAAGCTACAAAGCACACCTTTTCAAACGTTTGAATGTACATGCGTGTGTGAATGTGCACTATAATAGCACACCATCTGAATCCTAGGGATTGAGCACTCTCACTGAACCACCAACAAGCCACTACCAGATATATATTACTTGGGAAACCCTTTTCATCCCTTAGGCCTCGTTCGGTTATTCCCGAAGAGGGTGGGATTCGACATGATTAAGAAGAAATAATTTCACATCACAATAGGTGTGGAATAAATCCCTCCGAATCTCCTCAATCCTTTTGTAGGAGGGATTAACCGAACAAGACCTTCAAGGAATATCTCCCTTCCTTTTTTTATGGCATTAAGATGTGTCACTAAAAAAATTGAGAAAAATGATGATAAATCAATATGGGATATGTTATTCCACAAACATGCAAATTCAACATATACAACTACTGTTTATAGTCAAATTAGTTATTTTGGTTTCTACTTATCTAAGTTGAATTTAAATTTGCATGTTTGCGGAATGATATAGCACATATTGATCTATCTTGTCAACTCTTTTTAAATCATATTTTGGACGCCGTGCACAAAATGAGAGGATATATATTCACACTTGAGGGATGAAAATCCACCTCCTTATTACTTATGTGCTTATAGTACAATGTATAAAGTTTAGCCAAAAGGCATAAACTATATTTAGTTGACCATCATGCATGGTCTTTTTTTTATACTCCATTTTTTATGTGCAATAATTAAGTAGTATGTACATAGTGTGGTCATTTTCAGTCGTTCTCCAACAATGAAACACAAACTACACACTTTGCACTTTAATTAACACCTCTTTTGTCCGCATGGATACAACACGCACAGCAATATAATGCATGCTTCATGCCGGCCGGCTGGACACGCCCCTTTCTGCCTTGATGCCATGGTAGAGACGTCGTCTGCCTTCAGTGTTGTCGCCATGGATGGGTGTATGATCTCTTTTTGACCAACATTGGACGTGTGAAGAAGGACGGTTTGGTCTATCGATCTCTCAACCGAACGTACGGTCAGTCTGAGATAGCAATGGTGCATGTGGCAGCATGCCTACCTTGTTGTTCTTTTTTTTTTTTTAGAAAATGACCTTCTGCTTAGATGAATGACGGACCTCTACCCAAATTTTATTTATTTCAGGGAAAACGTACAACAGTCTGAAGACGATAAGCTCAACACATTCACCCGCGAGATTCGTATTCAAAACCATTAATGTTGCTCCCACGTACGGGTACACAATACAAAAAATACATATATTTATATAAATCTATTAAATTTTTAATAGAAAGCTAAATGAGCCACTTGTTCTCTATGAGGATATAGAAATTAGAGCAAAAACTATGTACATATACTTTGATCAAACTATCATAAGACTATATATTTAAGTTGATATATCACAAAACTATACACTTAGTTATAATATTATCACAAAACTACAGGTTTTGCACTAAGTAAAAATTACAACATTTGTAACTCCAATATAATAGTAGTATTAGGATTTAAACTATAAAATCTATAGATTTGTGACAACTTTAATATTAAATATGTAATTTTATGATACAACACGTTGAATATGTAGTTTTATGATAATTTGTTCTACCTTTAGTTTTGTGAAAATTGTTCTATAAGTTAACCTAGGAAAGAAATCCTAGGAAGATATTATAACATAGATTGATGGTTCAAAGGTATGCGAAATACTATTGTAATTTTAGAAATAGAGCAGAAGAGAAATTCAAATATATTTGAAATAAATTTGGCCCATTAAGGATTGTGAAAATGCTTATGAAGACAAAATGTATATACTCACTCTATTTTTAAATGTTCGGCGTTGTTCGTATTTATTAAAAACATAAATACGCTGGTATGAATATAAAAAATAATAATATTAGCCATGTTTAAAGCAACTTTAGTGATAAAAGTAAAACAAGTCACAACAAAATAGGAGATATTTACATGGTTTTCTAAAACAAAACATGGTTGAACTTTATGTAAAAAAATCAGCTTGATACATATTGCATATTTAATTAAAAACAATGGTAGTACAATGGTTTTTGTAGTCTAAGTTATGTCCTAAAAGATAAACGATGACATCCCACAATCCAAATTACTCGTCTGAAAAGATAAATGACGATCGACCGCGAGACCCATGACCCATCCATTTTTTTTATTTTTTGAACTTTTTAAATTTAAAAATAAACTTTTTCAAAACTTATTTTCAAGATTTGAGCCTTTTGGCCACGTCAGCTGAACTGGCATGGCAAAACAACAATGTCTGATATGGCAGTGTTATTTGGCTACGCCACCCTCGCTGGCGTGGCAAGACAAAACTGTCACGCCCGCTATATGACGTGTCAGTATTGTTTTGCCATGTTATACGGGCTGCGCGTGGTCAAAAGAGCCTTTTAGATTCTGAAATAAATTTTGGGAGGGTCTACTTTTAAAACATAAAAATAAAAAGTTCAGAAAATGAAAAAAAAAAAGAAATCGACCCATCCGCCTGTTACTAAAAATAGTACGATACGTAGAGAATTTGCCACACCGGCCTACGTATATATAGCTAGTATACTAGCTAGGCTGGTTGACTGCGCTGTGTGTGCGCGTGTTAACTCCCAAAAGCGAGAGCTAGCGGCGTGCAAGTCCACGGCGAGCTCGTGGGAGA